CTCACTGAGCCCCCGTGAAGCTCTGGGCCCCTGCGTGTGCTGAGGGGGTGGGGGTGAGGGGGGCTGGGGGTTGGGATATTGTTCTCTCTGGCTTACTCATGACCTTCTCCTGGTGTGCTTGACATCAAGCCAGTAGGGGGAGGGTTAGGCCTGCTCAGAGGGCGGCGAACCCCACAGTGCACGGCTGGAGCTCACGCACCACCCTCGTTAACCACGGTCCTTGCTAACTCTGGTGCCAGGGTCCACACGGCCCTGAGGAAGCGCAGCCTGGGGCACTGGGCCCGCTGCAGCCCTCAGCGTTTCACCCTCAGTTGGTGTGGCTTTTTTGTGTTTCATTTTGGTGTATTTTTTTTTCTTTTTACTTCTTTTATTTTTATCTTGAAAATTTTTGTTTGGTTTTGGTGTTTTTAAATGAAAACAGGCTCCCCTTGCATTTCAGCCGTCCCCCTTGGGTGAAACAGCCCAATGAGTACATTTAACACGAGGCTGCTGTCCAGGAGTCGGGGCTCTGGCGGGTGATGGGGTCCCTGGGGCAGCGTCCAGAGGTGAGAGGTCAGATGGGAGGTGGGGCCGGGCTGGGGGAGGGAGCCTCCGAGTCCTGCCCTGGTAACGGTCTTCCCAGAGGCAGAGGCCAAGAGGATGCTGGTGACCTGTGTGCTGGTGGAGAGTATGTGCGCCCCCGCCCCTGCTCAGGGCACCTTCTTCTGTGCCCCCAACCCCGTGCCTTTGTGACATCAGCAGCTTGGAGGCTCCACCTGGGACAGGGAAGCAGGGAGCATGCAGGGTGTCCCGAGTCACATCCAGCACCACCGGTGGCAGGACACCCCACCCTCGGGGTTGGGGAGCGTCCCGGAGTGCTCCCTGAGGGGACCCTGGGAAGAACAGGTTGGGGGGCCAGAGCCCAGGGCCCAAGTGGCCCTCTGGGGATGTGCACCCCCGGGTATGCAGGCAGGAATTGCAGCAGACATCGCCTACTCCGCAAGCCTGGAGCTCGCACCAGCGTCTCCCTGTGACCAGGTGTCCCGTGCGGCTGTGGGGTCGTCCTTCCCTCCCTGGGCAATGCTACCCACCGTTGAGGTGCAGGAGGAGCCCCCCCGAGACCCTGGCTCCTTTGCTGAGGTTGAGCTGGTGCTCCTGCTGGCCAGCGAGGTGGCCTGCGTCGCAGCAGGACGAGGACAGGATAGACACACACGTGAAGGACAAGGGCCCAGTGCAGTTCGTGGACCGGCCGCCAGGCCCAGCCTGATCCTGGCTGTCCTCAGCTGCCCAGAGCTTCCTTATCTCCCCAGGCCTGGCTGTCAGCATGCGCGAGCACAGCCCCGCTTATCTGGGGGTGCCCGCGTGGGGAGCCTTCCCAACGGCACCTCTGCCCCTGTCGGCCGGCCTGCTGGGGCCGGGCCCTGTGGCCGCCTTCCCGCTGCCCACTTGTGGGACACAGGCCCTGGAGGGCTGCGCGTCCGTGAGGACAGTGGCCATACCGCTGACCCTTGGCACGTCCTCCCCTTACACCCAGGGTCCCAGCGTCCCCACCAGATACCCGGCTGCAGCCCCCCCTTCTGCAGGTGTCCGGTCCTCAGGCGGGGCAGCTGAGATGCACAGCCAGCAGCGTGGGTCCCTGAGGAATGCGTGTGTTTACTTCAGATTGTGTCTCGTTTTGAAACTTTTTAAGAGAGGAACGCCATGGAGAATACTAAAGCATTTGTTTATTTGTCAGCGAAAGTCAGGGAACTTTAAAGTTTCATCAAATACTCAGTTTTTCTTTTTATGAAAGAAATGGATGTTACAAGGTAGCTTTGTTCTGTGAGCAGGTCCCTTCCCCTCCCGCCTGCAGCCCGCCTTGCCTTGCCTGTCGGTGACCTGGGTGCTTTCAATGTGACCTAGAGCTGTGTGTGTGTGTGTGTGTGTGTGTGTGTGTGTGAAGAGAGGCTCTCCGCGCCTGCCGGGCCGGCTGGGGAAAGGTCAGGTGTGGGCACGGGCAGGGCGTGCACCACGCATTCCTGATGGAGGGGCAGTGGCGTGCAAGCGGAGGGACCCTGGGCCTCTGTCCTGCTGCGGTGACCGCCGAGACCAGGACAGCAGTAGCGGGCACCGCGGTAGGACTGACTGTGAGCCGGGAGCTCCGGGCAAGCCTGTTTTACTTCCTGGAGCCGGATTTGTCACTTGTGAAATGGGGAAAGGGGTGGGAAGACCCCAGAAGAGCAGGGGCGGCGTGCAGGGCTGTCCAGAGCTGTGCCCACGTGCCGCTGCCAGGAGACCAGCCTGCCAGGAGCCGCATGGGGCAGGGTGTCCAGCCTCCCCAGAGCACTGTCTCCCCGCGCTGCTGGGCCACACCTCCCCCACCGGCCCTGCCTCCCTGGGGCGTGAATGGGGGAGTGATGCAACCCGGCGTGGCCGCCTCCTGCCGGAAGTGCATTTGCATCTGCGCAGAGTGCTCGCCACCTGTGCCTGGCGAGGGGGCCCGGGGCCTCTGAGCCAGTACTGGCACACTCCCCCCATAAGGAAATGTGACGCTGTCTCAGAAAACCCCGGCCCTGCTCTCTCGCTGTGCTGAGGCTCTGGGAATCCGGTGGCAGGAAGGCATGGCCCCAGCCTGGGCTTGCCCTCCCAGGCCCTTCCATGCCGGATCCCAGCCATGTGGCCAGAGGAATCAATGAGCACAGGACTGAGCGCTCCCCTGGAAGCCGAGGACACGGGAGTCCCGCTGCTTCTCCCCCTGCCCTCCACCGTGATGACCGTGGGGCTGCCAGATAGACCGCAGAGACCTCGGTCTCAGTCCTAGGTCTGCCCCTACCATGTTGGGGGCAGGGGGCCACTCTGAGCCTCCGTTTTCTCTTCTGTGTGGAGAATGGCAGTGCTGACGTGGCTGGTACAGGACAGCCATCTCCCTGCTGGTTCTGAGGGCCTGGACCGAACACTCCTGGGGCCACACTGAAGGTCCCCCGGGCCGTCTGCCCCATGCACACTTGAGCCTTTCCTGGCCAGGCTCAGCTCCTCCTTCACCCCTGTGGTGTGGACACTGAGTCTGGAGCCCCACCTCCCTGCGGCAGCTCCTTTTACTACAGGGCCTGGGAGGGGCGGGTGCAGACCACGGCCCAGGAACCCGGGGCTCCTCCAGGGTCCACACCGGGCTCAAACATCACTGCTCTTCGATGCCCTGCCCAGCTCAGGGCACTCCTGAGTGTGTCAGCTCTGGAACGGCAGTGGCCGGTGCCGGACTCCACTCAACGTCAGTGAGAAGCACCGTCTTGGTGGCCGTTGCATCAGCCAGAGCCGGGCAGTGAGGAACGAGGCTGGGGGGGGGGGCGCTATTAAGGCGTCAGTTAATTTCCTGGAGCAAAAAGCAGGTGGCAGGGTGAAGCACCCTGGGACAGTTCCTGTTTTCTTCTACCTGAGCTGTTGGATCTTACCCACTCATTAGGGCGGATTTGTTTCTTTGGCCTTAATTGCTCTAACTGTAAAATTTCACTAGTTCACTGTAGTCGGGGAAGAAGCCCCCTGGGGTCCGCCAGTCCTGGGCGGGTTCTGTGTTGGGAAGAGAAAAGATGTGCAGACCTTTCCGGCGCTTCTTACCTTAACTGCAGCCCTTGGAGAAGCAGTGGGTGTGGGGGGGCTCGTAGAGGGGCCCTTCCGAGGTCCAGGCCCTGCGGGTTAAAGTCACAGGACCAGCCTCCAGGAAAGAAGGGCCCCGCTCCGCGCCCTTGCGGGTTTCCTGGTGTGAAAGCTCCCTGGCAGGTCACCTCGAGCGGCTTCGGGAGGATGCAGCCTGGTGAGCTCACCCCTCCACCCCGTGCACCCCGGGCGTCCTCCCTCCCGCAGCAGAGCCGCCGAGCGCGCCAGCCACCACTAATGTGCCGGAAGGCCTGAGTGTTGGGGATTTGTTGCCTTTGTCTTAATGCAGTTTGGCTCCATCGGAAGTGGCCGCGACGACGGCCAGCTCCCGAGCTCCCTGCACCCTTCCTGCATCTCCCACACACCCGCTGTCTCACCACACAGATGCCTCCGCTTCGGGTCAGGGCCAGGGGTCTCCCGGGAGCCAGGCAGGGCCTGCTTGTGCACATCTGGGCATATCGGTAGAGCCGGGCTTGGCCGCCCACCTGTGCCCCCCGACCCCAGTCCCACCTCCTCTCCTGTCCCAGTCAGGCGACCCACTGTGATGGGTGTGATTTCCAGTTTTCAGCACATGTGGGTAAAATCCCCAGCTGGGTCTGCTGGTGTATTGACTCTTGCTGACCCCCTCCGTTGGCCTGGCCTCGCCTTCAGTCCCCATTTCATGTGTCAGAATGGCCCCCCACGGTCCCAGCACGTGGTTTGTCATATGGATTTATGCTAACTGTACCTCACTTACCTGTTTCCTCTGTGGGATTCTAGAAGGTTCTGTCTGCAGAAAGGGTTTCCCACCTTGGGTAGGCGAGGTGGACTGTGTGGGCACCTAAGTTGGGCTGAAATGGTGGGAGGAGCCTGTAGGAAGGTGTCATTGTGTCTGTAACCTGCACTCTGAAGATAGGGCCCCAGGTGTGCCACAGGTGCAGCAGGGGTGGGGCGGGGCGGGGCGGGGCTGTGGGCAGAGGCTGGCAGGGGGTTGAGATTCATTCATTAAAAGTTCTTTGTGGCACAGGGGTTCCTGGGGGTTCAGTCGGTAAAGCGTCTGCCTTGGGCTCAAGTCGTGATCCCAGGGTCCCAGGATCGAGTTCCGCGTCAGGCAGTGGGGAGCCCTCTCCTTCTGCCGCTCCCCCTGCTCCTGCTCTCTCTCTCTCTCTCTTTTTCTCTCTCTCAAATAAATAAATAAAATGTTTGTGATAACCCAAGGGTGGGTGGGACTGTAGGTGTTCTGGGAGTCAAGAAGCCTGTTCTCAGCCTCTGGCCTTGAACTTGGGAGAGCCCAGAGCAGAACCAGGCCTAGAAGCTGGGAACTGCCGGAGGCTCTGGGCTCCCCTTCCTGGGGGTGCTGGTGTCCCCTGAGGCCCTGTCCTGTGTCACTCACTGTTGCCCTCTGTCCACAGTGCTGCTCACGGCCGTGAACTGCTACAGCGTGAAGGCCGCCACCCGGGTCCAGGATGCCTTCGCCGCGGCCAAGCTCCTGGCGCTGGCCTTGATCATTCTGCTGGGCTTCATCCAGATCGGGAAGGGTGAGTGCAAGCCCGGGGTCCCCGTCCCTAAGTGCCCCTGCCCGGAAGGTTCAGCACTCCAGCACGCACGGTTTCACTTGAGCCGGTCACGCTGTCCGGCGACAGGCACTGACGTCCTTACGGAGACTGAGCAGCGAGTTAAATCCTGAGTGATGGGGAGAAACAGACCCACCCTGGCCCCTCCGAACCCCACTCTCCTACCCACCTGTGAGGGCGGGCGTAGGATGGGGACATGGCCATTTGCAGAGGGACCTCAGGGCTGTGCCTGGCACACGGAGAGTGAGGAGGGATGGAACTGTTACCAAGACAATCACACACGGGGGCCCACATCCCACGTGCATGTTCGATGGGGGGTGGCTGTCTGCCAGGGAGGATATAGGACCTCCCCCAGCCCCAGCATCTTGCCTGCTGACCCTTCCTGCTGTGGGCCACCACCGTCTGACCTTCTAGGTCACCCACGCCATGGTGCTTGGTGGCAGCGTGTCCTCTCCGTGCTGGGGAGGGAAGTATGCGGTTTCCCCGGCGGGGGTGGTCTCTAGCTGATCTCACAGAGAAGCGGCCCGCAGGGTGGTCCTTCAGAGCGGGTCACCACGGGGATGCACAGCCACGTGCACACAGAGGACACACGGAGGCCTGGCCGGTGCCTCACAGCCTCTGTGGTGGCCTCGCTCCATGTCCAAGCGCTCTCCAAGCCCTGGGGTGCAGGAGAGCAGCACCCGTGCCTCCGGCTTAGCGGGGTGCTGGTCGCCTGCTTCACCGAGTCTCGGGGTCAGTGGGAGAGCCAGGGCTAGGGCCGGGTCTGTGCCGCCCATGGTCGCGGGCCAGCCCAGGGCTGCCCCTCATGCGCAGGCTTCTCAGTCCTCTGTGGGCGTCTTCACCCCAGCCCCCACTTCTCACGTGCAGGTTAGCTATGAGTCGAGTGGCTAGAAACCCCGGAACGGCACCGTGTCTGCCGTGTCCTCCAGGCTTCTGCCTGTGATCCCCAGAAACCCATTCTTGCCGTTCTCGGCGCCCCTGCTCCCTTCCTGTCGCGGCCACGCAGGGCACCCCACTTTACAGGAACCCAGCGTCCACAGACCGTGGCCCATGCAGGGGGGACGTTTGTGATTCGGGAGAATTGGGTGCCCGTGGGCCATCTCTGGGGCCAGAGAGAAGCCCACGTGCTGGTCTGCGTTGGCCTGGTAACATGGCAGGGAGAGTCGGGTAATTGAGGCAGACCATCTTTAGCGGACACGGCCCCGGTGTAAAGGCTTCTCATGTGACCCCTGCCCCTCACGAGAACCCAGCACCCACGAGCTACGATCACCACCTGATTTCCAGACCCCTTTCTGGGGCAGGTGGGTCACTGCTTCGGGGGCCAGACCTCCTCCCGGGAGCCCGTCTCCGATCACCCAGGAGATCCTTAGTACCCTCCCAGCCTCAGGGGCGCCGACCAGGCAGTGCTGGGGGGTGGGAGCGGCCCCCAGTTGGGGCTGCTGCTGCTCCGGGGCTCCCACTGCACCCCAGGACTCCAGGGTCCAGCATCTCCTTGATAGGACTGTATCTTTTTCCTTATTCCTTGAGTTCTGAGGACCTGGTCAGGGCTTCCCTGTGCAGCATCGTGAGACAGGCCGGGCGGGACTGTGCGGCCGGGAGACATCCGATAGATCTGCTCGGGAGGGTCTGATTAGCCACAGACAGATGAGGAATGTGGAGGGGGTGACCTGACTTTTGTAAAAACACATTTCAGTCTGAAAAGCAAAGAGCTTTTGTTGGGCTGGAATACCTAATGTGTTTATGATGTTGATGCCGTTGAAACACCCCTCCCCGCCCCAGCCCCTTAAGCAGTTCCTTTCTGAACTCGGGATTCAGTGCTGCGTCTGCAGAATTCTGCCTCCTGGTTTTCTCCAAGAGCTCTGTGTGTTCCCAGATGAATGCCTTCCCTTCTGGGGGACAAATGGTTGTAAAGTGGACCCCCTTCTCCTCCAAGGAGTCTGTGGTCTGACTCTACTTCTCTCGGGCATCCTGCCCGTCTTCCTGGGTCCCCTTGCTGATGGCTGGCGGGAGGGCCTGGATCCTTGGTGCAGGGGCTCGGCTTGACTGTCCCCGGCTGGGTAGCCTCACAGCACAGACCCCACATGCCCTGCTCCCCTAGGCTCTGAGTGCCAGTGTTCTGCCCCAGCCCACCGAGCACCCGGGGGGCCCCAGAGCTGCAGAGGGGGTCTGAGTCCAGCTCACCTATGGTCAGCCCCCAGGCCTCAGCTGGTCTCATTCCCTCGAGACCCGTGAGCTGTCTGCCCTTGTTCTTCCCGCTGCCCTTCACTGGAAATCTGAGGCCCCGAGTGTGACTTGGTGCAAAGCTCTGACAAGGACTTGACCCTGCTGGCCGGGGCTCAGCTCTGGGGTGGGGACACCAGACAGCGCAGAAACAGGAGAATTACAGACAGGCAGATGGGGCGCCAGCCCAGACCAGGACTGAGGGCGGGGTGGGGGGTGCTAGATGAAGGCACAGAGCTAGGAGGACAAAGGGGCCGCTCTGCATGGCCCCAGGCTGGGATCTTGGTGTGGGCGCGGCTCAGCTGCCCTGCGGCTGGGGGTGGGAGGCCGCCCTCGGTGTCGGGCATGCAGGCCTGGCGCCATGCAAGGTGCCTGGATTCGCTCCCAGCATTTTCAGGAGGGGAGACGGAGCTCAGGCCAGCGTTTCAGACCCAGTGGCTCCCGTACGAAGCAGGGCAGGCAAGCAGGGCAGGCTTCCGACGAGCAGGCAGGCGGGGCGGGCAGGCGGGGCGGGCGGAGGCACTGGAGTCCCCTACACGCCCGCTGCCTACACCTGCCTTTGTCCTTTCAGTCTGTGGATTCCTTCTGTGTGTCGCCCCACAGAGACCATGGCCCTGAGGTCGGGCCGTTCCCAAAGCCAAGTAGGCGTTTCTCAGACCAGAGGTGGGAATGGGGTGCTGAAGGCGCGTCCCTCTGCCCAGGTCCCTCCCAGAGGACGCACAAAGGGACCTTGTGGTTCTGCTCGGGCCGCGGCATCGGTGGGAGAGTGGTTTCAGTGCGGACCGCCCCTCGTACAGATAAAATGGCCCGCGGAGCGCTGTCCGCCTCCCACGCCGCATCTGAGCAGGATGTCCTCTGCTGAGGGAGGTCGTGGCAGGCAGAGTCTCCATGCGCCAAGCAGTCCTGCCCCCTACATCCGAGCCCTGTAGCAGCTCGCACGGGTTCACCTGGCTGCCGGGACGTTGGCCCCCAAATGCTGGGGGACATGGGTGTGGTTTGCACAGTGGGCGGAGGCTCCCAAACCCGGCCTTGATTATCTCGTACACCCGGGCACTGTCCCAGCATGATAGGGGCATCTCGAGCAGGGGACGTGTGGGAGACGGCAGGGCGGGAAGGGTGCGCCCTTGCAGTGAGCAGCACCGAGTGGCCTGTCGCTTCTCTTTGTGCTCCCGGGCCTGGCCTCCCCCGATGGAGACTTCAGGGCCCATTTCCCCAGGGCCAGGGTCCTGCCACGGCCGCAGAGCACTGCAGCAGGGGACCGTGCAAGGCTGGGGTTCGGTTCTCTGCTCGGGGCAGCTGGGTCCCAGGACCAGGGAGGGGTCGGGCAGGGCCCTGGGCAGTGTCTGGAGCATCAGGTCACAGGGCTACGGAGGGAAGACTTGTCATGAAGGGGCCATCGGAACTGGCATGGTGGTTTTCCCCTGTGGTCGTTCTTTGATAATTTTTTTAGATTTGTTTGAGAGAGGAAATGTGTGCGGGAGAGGGGCAGAGGGCGAATTCCCAGCAGGTTCCCCCCGAGCGCAGTGCCTGTTGCCCGGCCCCATGCCACGACCCTGAGATCAGGATCTGAGCCGAAATCACGAGTCTGATACTCAACCGACTGAGCCCCTGGGTGCCCCGTTCTTTGGTCATTTTTACTAGAGGCCATTCCCCTGGGCCCTCGCGCATCTGCACTGAGTCAGCGTCCGGAATCGGGACAGACTGGCGATCACGTGCTTTGCTCCTGCCATCCAGCCTGAAAGCCAAGTCGGGGAAGTTGGGGCTCTCCCGCCGCAGCCCTCCGCCTGACCGTGCCCTGGGCCGTGGCAGCCCTGGAGGCCTATGCTGGGCACACTGGTTTCTCAGAGGTCTCTCGCAGCCTGCTCAGTGGGGAGAGGCCCCTTTGCAACTGGGATTTGAGATTCGAAGTAGATCTTGAGGCCAAGGAGCCCATTCCTCCGAGGGTCTAAAAGAGGGTCCCAGGGACAGATGCTGGCCAGGTGAAGAAGCACCAACCAGCCTCCCAGACCCGGATTCTTGCCGCAGCACCGTTCCCAGACACCAGGCAGAGACAGGACAGCACCGCATGCCGGACACGTCCCTCCGGGGTGGGGAAATGGGAGAGAGGAGCCCATGAGCCGGCTGCAGAAAGCCTCCCCTCCTAGCGTGCTGGGCTCTGGCTGGAACAGGAGACCCATTGCGGTGCTTTCTGCCCGAGCCCGTTAAGGGCACCGGTCACACACAGCCCACTCACCAGGTGGGACAGCGCCAAGGCCCCGGGGCCCCACGCAGGACAGCCCATCTTACAGAGCAGGAGCCTGAGGCCAAACACCATTTACTTGGCCAGTGATGGCAAAGGTGGGACCCAAGGCCACAACTTGTCCCAGCCACTCCCGTGAGGCACAGAGTGGAGACCAGAGCATCTGACCCAGACAGAGTGAGGCCTATCAGTCTGTCCGCAGACAGTGTCCTGTTGTCCCCTCGGGGTTCTGGGGAACAGAAGTCCAAACATAGGGCCCTACTCTCTCTGAAATTTGTTTGGGGAGGGAGGTCCCTCCTCGTCTATTCCAGCTTCTGGTGGTCCCTGGCCTTGTGGCTGTGGCACTCGACCATCTCGGTCTCATCCCTGTGGCCCGTTCCTGTGTCTCTGTGTCTTCCAAGGACACTGGGGGGCTTCAGGGCCTACCCTCATCTGTGATCTCGTCCTCACCTTGAGTCTGTCTTCAAACCAGGTCACGTTCGGACGTGCCGGGTTAACAGTTCTTGGGGGACCCTGTTCACATCTCATGACATCAGTGACTGCCCCACAGAACCCCGGAGGGATCAAGTGGGAAAAGAAGCAGAAGCTTCCGGCATGGTGGACGCTCCCCAGTTTGGGGCTGGCTTTCTCACAGTGTCCCCATCCCAGGAGGGGTGCCCCAGGGCTGCTCTGCCTGTGGGAAAGCATGGCGAGGGGGTGGGCCGTCTTGAGGTTCCGGGATTCTCTGCCACTGCCCCCAACTGCCCATTTCCAGATCGCGGCGTAGACAGGCTCCCGGCACCCTGGAGAAGCCGCAGTGAGTGTCTGACCAGACCTTCCCCCCTCGCAGAGGCCAGGTCTCAGGGGACACAGGCAATGTGGGTAGCCCTGGTCCTCCCAGCGCAGGAGCTGGAAGGCTGGCACATTCCCCTGGTGGGAGGAAGGATCACGCCTGTCCCCACATGCACAGAGCTGCTGCTGCCTGTGGCTGTGTCTGTGGGACATGGGGCATTGGGCTTTCCCGGACGGCTGCTCCCTGGGGCCTTGAGCTTTCCCACCCCCGTTACCCCGGTCCGCAAGGGGTCCCAGCGGGTGGGAGGCAGGCCCAGCTTCTGGCTCTGTGCTGACATTCCTGTTCCCAGAGGCCCTTCTGGGGGGGTGCGGTCAGGGGCTGCATTTGGGGCTAGAATAGGCCGACATGAAAGGCCACGGGTTTGGGGGCTCCTGCAGTGCGGGCAAGCCGAGGGCCGGGACCCAGCCTCAGCCGGCGCGCCGCCTCCCCTTGGGGCAGCAGTTAGAGGTACCTCTGGGGTGTGCAGAGCAGAGTGGTCCCAGGGAGTTCCCGCGCCCCCAGTCTCGGAGCCTGCGGAAGGACCTGCACCGTGTCTGCCTGTCATAGCCGTTCTCTGGCCTGCTGTCGGGGCATCAGGTAGCTTGGCACATGGTGGCCCTGGAGGACTGTCGTCATTCATCTGTGTCTGAGACACCCCGTCGGGGGGCCCAGCACAGTCCGCGTGTCTGCTCTAGCAGTGGGAGCGGTGCCCGCGGGCCCAGCATTGGTCACCCATCTCGTGAGCACAGTTCTGCCCCGTGTCGCTGCCATCTGGGGGAGCCGTGCTCAGTTTCCCAGTGTGCTGAGCGGCACTGCCTGCTCCCCCCACCAGACAGCCCCCACCCGGACCTGACCAGCCCGCGTGTCGGGACACTGCCGCATGTGCCCCGCTGCAGCTGGCGGGGGGGGGGGATGTTGAGACCACACGGAACCTCCACGTCTCTTCTACGCCGCACCCTCGCTCACTACTGCTACGACGGCTGGGCAGCTGCTAACACATCCCGACACGGCGGTGTGGCCGTCTCACCCGCCTCCGGCTGGAGCTGGTGGAGATGGGCAGGCGGGCCCTCCTGCCAGCTCTCCAGGCCTCCCCGAAGACCACCTGCTGTTCAGGCTCCAGCCCCAGCAGGACCCCAGGATGGCAAGGGCAGGCGCAGCCACTGTCCCTGAGCAGTCACCCTGGCCACGTGGCTTATGGAGCCAGCAGACCCAGTGCCTGCTCCTTGGTGCCCGTCAAGAAGGAGGGGGCAGCATGCTTGGCTGACGTTGGGTCAGGAGCCTGGAGAAGCTGCGGGTTTCCCTTCTGGGCTGGCGTCCAGCGCAGTCTGAGTCTGAACAAAGCCGGGAGCCCTGCCGGGGGTGCATGCACACGGCCCACTCAGGACAGGTCACTGTCAGGCCTCTTCCTCTGTCCCCGATGTGCAGTGGGGCACGCTGCATCTGGAGAAGGTGGCAGGGGGTGTGACAGCCCCGAGGAACTGGGCAGAGGGTGGGCTGGCGGCCAGGAGCAGTAGCCGAATCCTTGGCAGAGCTTTGCCAGCTGCCCCCACCCGCCCCAAATCCTCCGCACCAGGAGAGAAGCCGGGTCTGGGGACACTGTGGGATCCGGGTGTGCCGTCCCTCTATGAGCCCGATGTCTGCTTTCCTTTGAGGGACCCTAGGCACTTTGGAGGCAGGAAGTGAGGTCTCAGATGGCCAAGGGCGGTCCCAGCAGATGGCTCACCACACTTGTCCTAGGAGGAGAAATCTTTGCGGGCTATTGGGGGGGGCCTGGCCGAGGTCCCCAGTGAGACACTCATCTGTGTTTGGTCAGGGCAGTAGCATGTCCTCGGACTCGCAGACCCTGCAAAATCAGGCTGTAGATCCAGAAAGTGCTGTCGTATGTCAGGAAGTCCAGTCACTGCATGACCGTCTCGGGGAGACGACCGTGTGTCCATGTCCCAGCTTGGAGCTGGTGGCCACAGCGGGAGTGGCACCTGAGGAGGACGTCTCGGTTGTGCAGGACTTGGCAGGCTGAAAGCCCCTGGTTCTTACCTGCAGACCACAGGCCGCAGGTCCCACCTTGAACTTCGTCCCCGTCCCGGCACTGCACCCGCAGTTGCCAGGAACCCTGAGCACCCACATCTCACCCTTCCTGTACCAGCCTGGGTGCTTGCCCCCGAAATTGACCTCTGCTTGGAGTGTCTCCGAGCCGCATGTGTGTGCGCAGCGTCACTAACTCGGGGGCGGGGGGGGCAGTTCTAACGACTGCACCTGCCCGCGCATCTGCGTCACAGCGGAGGGAAGATGCGTAGTTTGAACCATACGTGACACATGCGCGTATGTTCTAGTAGGAAGAGGGGCAGGTTCGTGAGACAGTCTTAGGTTCCAGACACGCGTGCGCCACGTGTGAGGGGTCCTTCCGCAAAGCCTCCCGTGCTCCAGAAGCAGCTCTGGGGACCTGCGGCCCTCGCAAGCTCCTACGGAGGGTGGGTGGTCTCAGCGGGCTCCCCAGGCTCTTAGGGGCACCTCCAGGAGGTGTCGGGTGGTGTGGACGGCACACGCGGTCCCCAGAAGGGAGTCTCCCGTCGTGGTCCTAGATCCCACTGTGGGGATCCGGGGGCAGGTGGCCTGAGCCTCTGGGTCCCTGGCTTCTGGCCAGCAGAAGCACGTGGACAAGGCCGTGGGGTTTGGTGGAGCTCTGCAGAAGTGGGGTGCGTGGCAGAACCTTCCTGTGGGCACCACCAGGAGGGAGCCGCGGGGGGCTCCAGGCACTCTCCTGGGTGCTGTTGAGTGAAAGGTGAGCAAAGGTGAGCCGTCCTGAGCCCGTTCTCGGCACGGCCCCCGCCCACCCAGCCTGCTGACCACCCTGTGACCAGGCAGTCTGAGGACCTGGGCCTCCAAGACAGGTCACACGCGGGCAGTGTGTGAGGGGGCGGCCGCCCCGGGGCCAAGCAGTCTATCCCGAGACCTCGGCCAGGTTCCCCCCCACACACACCTGTGGGGTCAGGACGAACAAGGCCGAGGGCGGAGTCCGGAACACGGAGGAGGTCGGAGCTGCTCTGAAGTGCAGGCTTCTACTGGGTGGGGTGACAGGGTGCGACAGCAGCTCCCTTCCTCAGTCCCCTCTACAAGCCCCCTCCCCTGCTCATTGTGTCCTGTTCCTGGAGTGACTGAGGCCCCTGGTGGGAAGTGTGGGAGACCTTGGGCTCCTGGGGGTGTCTGCAGATCATGGCTTTGTGCTGGGGCCACATCCCTGCCTCACCCTGCAGTGCCTGGGCCGATGGCTTCTTAGCTGGCAGTTACACGGGCCTTCGCAGGCAGAGCCATAAGGACTCTGTTAGAAACGTCCCCGAACTAACGAGCTGTCCACACCTGACCAAGAGTGCAGTCCCGCCCCCAGCTGTGTGTGCCTGGCAGGTGGCCACAGCCAGGTGGGCTGAGTGACCGGCCATGTCCCGAGTCCTTGCGGCAGCTGTCCCCAGAGCCGGGGCGCTGGGAGCACTGGAGAAGCATGGGGCTCACGGGCAGGCTGGCCCCTCATTACGGAGCAGGTGGTTCTGGGCCTGAGCATACTAGGCTGAGCGTCAGAAAGAGCCTGATAACCAGGATCCCCCCCAAGACCCCCATTCCCCTTCATGTGTGCCAGCGTGGGTGGTGGACGCAAACCACTGTCCCCTGAGACCTGGATATGCCCTTAGGTGGAGAAAGGGTCTTCACGGTTGTATTTGAGGAAGTGTGAGACGGGACCATCCTGGTTCGGGATGGGCCCTAAATCCAGTGACAGGCATCCCAGTAAGATAGAGGGGAGACCCAGCAGAGAAGCCACAGGAGGACGGGCAGACACTGGGGTGGTGTGACCACACATCAGGGCCCCCTGGGCCGCTCTCGGTGGAAACGGTCAGCAGAAAGGTGGATGGAGCCCCACTGGGCCCTGCTGTCATCTGTCTGGGCAGACACCAAGGCTGCGATGCCCCCAGGGATGGCTGTCCGGGAGGTGCCGTCCCTCACAACCCCATCACTTCATACCATCACCATCTCTGGGGCAGGCAGGTTCCAGGGACACATCTGAGTCACCGGCGAGAAGTTTCCTGCTGATGCTTGCCACCAGGTCACGCTGTGAACGCTGTCCCACTGCGAGGAACCTGGCTCTAGGGTCAGCAGCCCAAGATCCTCCCAGCACGAAGGGGGCGCCAAGACTGCAGCCCAGGTGTCCCTGACCTGGGTTCGTGTCACGGGCTCTGCGGGGGGTGTCCTCCGAGATGACCTGGGCTGACCAGCCCCACTTCTGCCCCGATGAGCCGCAGGTGGGCGCACACGGGCCCCCACCTCCACTCGTGGGCGTCCTGCCCCTCAGCACATAGTCCGCTGGGCTTGGAGTGATCGAGGGTCTGCAGCACTGCCTCCCCGCTCGCGGGGCGTCTTGGGGGCCGTCCCCCGGGTCCCCTGTGCCTGCTCGCTCCTGGCCCGAGTGTAAGCGTGGGAGCGCTGGCAAGGCAGTTTAGCAGGTGCATCCAATTTGCTGCCATGGAAAGCCTTCACCCCAGCATTTCTGTTTGTGCCTGAATTTTGCTCCAGGAACATTCCAGAAGTTGCGGTGTGACCTCCTTGCAGTGCTCTCTAACCCAGCATTCCCTTCTGTCTGTCGGGCCTTTGCCAGGTGACGTGTCCAATCTGGATCCCAAGTTCTCGTTTGAGGGCACCAAGCTGGACGTGGGGAACATCGTGCTGGCGCTGTACAGCGGCCTCTTTGCCTACGGGGGATGGTAGGTTCTAGAATGTCAGGGTCTTTGGGCTTGGGACACACCGGCTGGGTGGGCTCCCAGGTGTCCAGGAATCAGGTCTCTCGGCCACCCGCAGGCAGTTCTGGGGAACACAGCCAAGGCTGTGGAGCTGCTGCTAGCCCTGCGCACCCCGGAGAGGCACAGACATGCGCCCGTGTAGCCGTGGGCACTGCTCACGGCGAGCCCGCTTCCTGCAGGCGGCCCTCTGCTGACCGGCGTGGAGCACTCAGGCTCCAGGTGCTGGGCTTGGTGGTCCTTGACCACTCCCCACCAGGAGCGAGGTGCTTCCCTGCAGCTCTGGCCAACGCCTTCTATCCCCTTGGGTCCCCAGCCATGGCCTCTGCTCTCGGGGCAGGCTGTCCTGAGCCACAAGAGTGGCCGTGGTGGGCGGGCAGGCACAGAAGGTGCCGGAAAGGGTCAGGTAGCAGCCGGGGAAGCCGTGGAACCAGCTCAATGTGGCAGCACTTTCCCTGCGGACACGGAAGCCTGTGGGGGGCTGCCCTTCGGGTCTCTTTCCCCACATGGCCCCTGAGCCTGCCCGTGCGTGCTCGGAGTGGACGGGAGGAGCTGCGCACGCAGCGGGTCTGTGTGGGGCAAGGTGCACGGGGTGTCCCTCCCCCCTCGGGCTGGGCTGTGCCTCTGCCTCAGAGACGGTGCTGGCTGCCTGGGGCGGGGAAACAGACTGCATTGGAGGCCAGGCCCAGGGGGGTGGGCAGTGCTGACTTTGCTCAGGACGCGGGGCCCCTTGCTGCTCACCAGTGGGGGGGGGGCCCGCACATGGGTTAGGGACCCCCACTCCACGGGCCCAGAACAGCCAGGAGGGGCTCCCTTGGGATCGGTGTTGTTTTCCCTAAGCGTTGTGTGAGGGACGTGTGGTGAAATTCTGCTCTCAATTCTAGGAATTACTTGAATTTTGTTACAGAGGAGATGATCAATCCCTACAGGTACGAGCACGCACAGACTTGTGTTACCGTAACGCGAGAGGAGGAGGAAGCCTGGTTATGTCTCAGCCAGCTCCGGGCGGGCCTTGGAGGGGCAGGAGGGTCGCTGGGGCGGGGTGCCGCCCTCACGGTGGCCGTGTGACCTGGAACCAGGCTCCCCCGGGGGCCCGGGGCTGGAGCGGCGGAATCCCTGGCCCAGGTTCACACCGCCGCCCTCCTGCCAGTTTCCAGCCCCCCATGTGGTGGAAGGGGCAGCCGCTCCTCACCCTCTGGTCCGGCCCATGCCAGGCTGCCCTTGGATGACATCCGCCTCCCCTTCCTTGCAGAAACCTGCCCCTGGCCATCATCATCTCCCTCCCCATCGTCACCCTGGTGTACGTGCTGACGAACCTGGCCTACTTCACCACACTGTCCACAGAGCAGATGCTGACGTCGGAGGCTGTGGCCGTGGTAAGATGCCACCCGAGCAGACCAGGCCCCTGCGAACCGCTCCCTCCTCGGGAGGGTTGAGTGGCGCTTTGCCAACCCCCGGAAAGAGTGGGCGCTGGCCCTTAACTCCGGGTCCCCCTGAGACTCGGGAGTCTGCCGCACGCCAGGGCCCGGCCTCCCCCAGCCCAGGTGTGGGCCAGCACGAGGGAGCCATCTAGGCGTGGGGGAGGGGTGAGTCCCCGGTGAGCGACACCTCCAACCCTGAGCGTGGGGCGGAGCTGCTGGGAGCCTGAGCCTCCTGCACGGGCGCCGTGGACCCTGGGCTTATTGGATGTGGCATTCCCGGGCCCAGCAGAGGTGGCCCCCAGACCCGGTGGACTCAGCTATGGCAACACGCAACCCCTTCTTCTGAATAAACACCCAGTTCTGCTCTTGGGCGGCGGGACGACGCTGGGGGCCCAGCCAGAGACGGCCGCGCTCCTTTCCCTTGAACGGATGTGCTGGTGTGGGGACACGGTGCCCAGGGACCCCCGGCATCCTGCAGCGGGGACAGGTGCCTGAGGGTATGGATGAGGACTGAGGCACAGCGCCCCATGCTGACCCAGGTCCTGTCCCTGGGGCTGCCCCCAAGGTCCAGACCCCAGGAGGCCACTCTGAGTGCAGACATCTCACGATGAGCCCGTGGGAAGCTGTGTAGGCAGAAGCGTGCCGGGGCCTGGCTGTGAGGATGGCCGCGTGGCCTGTTGTCCGGGCAGAGAGCTGGGGGCACTGGGCTGGGCCCTGGGGCTGAGGGGCTCATGCTCCCCGTCTGCCTAGGACTTCGGGACCTACCACCTGGGCGTCATGTCCTGGATCATCCCCGTCTTCGTGGGCCTGTCCTGCTTCGGCTCCGTCAATGGGTCCCTCTTCACGTCCTCTCGGTGAGCCCCTACCTGGACCCGCCGCATCCCCCGGGCCCTGGGGCGCAGGGGAGGCCACCGCACACCACCTTCTGACGTGCGCTCCGAGTCTCATTCTGGCACGTTTGAGGGGTACAGAAACAAGGGAACCACGAACCCCCCTCTTCCCCCAGCCCCCGGCTAGAGGTGACCCAACCATGTCCTTCTGGACTCTTCCTTGTGTTCATTTCGAAACCCTGGCCGGCTGAGCCCCTCAAGGATGCCGGGAAGCCCCCACAGGCAGCCGGCGCTTGGGCATGGGCCCTCTCCACTCCCTGCCCTGCCGAGGGTGTGTGGGGAGGGGGCTGAGCGCCCGCTCCTACGTCCACAGGCTGTTCTTCGTGGGAGCCAGGGAGGGCCACCTGCCCTCCGTCCTCTCCATGATCCACCCCCAGCTCCTGACGCCCATGCCGTCCCTTGTCTTCACGGTAAGTGGGCCGTGCCGTCCGCGCCCTGTCCTCTGTCCGTCCGGCTCCGCGTGCTGTCCGCAGCCTGCACACTTGCCAACGTGGAGACATGAATAATTAGCACGAGTGCTTCCTCATGTCACGCTTCATACGTGACACGCTTCATTTTTCTTTTTGAGTTTTTATTTCCAAAAATTACGCATAGTAGTTGTGATCCAGAAGGCTTGGGAACGGTGTGGAAGCGTGTGGGGCGGGGGTGTCGGAGCCAGCTGTGCGCGGGCCACTCCCAGGAGCCCCGCGCCTTGTCCACGGGGAGGGGGTGACCGCAGGCGGGGAGGGGTGACTGCGGGCGGGGAGGGGGTGTCCGCGGGCGGGCCGCGCGCTCCGCGTGTGCTCGTGTCCCAGCCCGGCCTTGCTCTGTTCGCAGTGCATCATGACGCTGCTGTACGCCTTCTCCAGAGACATCTTCTCTGTCATCAACTTCTTCAGCTTCTTCAACTGGCTCTGCGTGGCCCTGGCCATCGCCGGGATGCTATGGCTCCGCTACCAGAAGCCTGAGCTGGAGCGGCCCATCAAGGTGAGCAGCCCACCGGCCGGGGCTCTGTAACCACGAGGCTCCATGCCTAGTGGCCCGTGGCCAGGCAGGCCGCCATCCCACCCTTCCCTCCACCAATCAGGGGTGAGGGCACTCTCTCCAGAACATCCCGGAGAGGCCCGAGTCAGATCTCTGTGCACGTGCTTCTGAGCTAGACAGGGAGCTAGTTCACGTCGTGGCCGTAACCAAGAACTCTGGGGCCGACCGCACGCTTCCAGGTGTGGCAGTTTGTCACTGAACAAATGAGACCGTACGTGCCTTAGAGCTACTGTTCCAAAGAGGGCAGAGCGATAAGTGAGACCCCCACATGCCAGGTTGGGGGGTGCCGAGCGCTGCAGGGCAGGGGGCCAGGTGAGGCCCCAGCGCGGGAGGGAAGACCAGCTGGGGTGCGGGTGGAGGTACCTCCCCTGGCTGTGGCCGTCCCAGGAGAAAGCAGGGTGCTGGCCTTTGTCTGCTCAGGCCTCGGGTACAGCTTCCCAAGGGTGACCCTGTCTCTCCCAGGAGGGCAGCCATGAAGGCCCTGTGAGCACGTCAGCCATGGCCCAACCCTCTTGTCGTGGCCATTGGGCAGCCGCCGGCCAGCAGCTCCTGTCCCTTGTCCAGCTCGTGCTGGTGCGTGGTCCTCGCAGTGGGCACCTGTCCATGAGCCTCCTCCTTGGCAGAGAGCCTAGCAGGGCCTGGGACGGGTTCTTCTGGGGGGACACAGTCAACCTCAGTGGCGGGATCAGCTCGGCCCTCGCTTGTGGTGGGGGGCGCTGCCCCACTGGGGCCAGGCGGCCAGGGTGGCATGCCCCGTGGGCTGAGTGGGACCCTCGCTTGTCCCTCATGCTCTAGAGTTTCTTCCAGTGTGTAGACAACCCGGCAGAAGGCTCGGGGAGCAGACGTGGGATGAGAGTCCCGGGAGCGGCTGCCAGCTGTGGGTGTGGCTGCAGCTCCGCGGCCTTGAACGCTGTGTGTGGGCCGTGTGCACATGGGGCACAGACCACAGCCCACCTGCCCACAAAGGGCTCTCTGAGGAGGCGGGTACTGCTGTGGGATTCGTGGGCGGCCACGGTCTTCCCAGAAGCGCCGGGCCCCTCCCTTGAGTGACCGCGGGTCCGGGGCTGAGCAGGCCTCCACCCTGTGATGGAACCAGGAGGCTGACCTTCTCTGACCTCGGGAAGCCGCAAGGGCCCGACCTGGCTGTGTCTGCGCTCCGTGTGCTCAGAGCAGTTCCTGTGTGGCTCTGCACTGAGGGCGGGTGGAGCTCCCCATTGCCGACTCAGAAAACCATGCAGGTCGGAGCCGGTGGAGGCCAGAACAGGCCCCAGAGGTCAGAGCTGCTCTGAGCTCGGCTGCGACCCAGCGGCGCAGGAGTGGCTCAGAGCGGGGGATGCAGGGGGTGCCTGGGGGTGGGGGTCCCAAGGGAAAAGACTCCTCCGGCGAGGGTCTGCATTCGGCAGGGTGGACGGGACTCGGGGCAGCGGGCAGTGGGGGGTGTGGGGTGGGAGGTGGGGGCACAGGCAGCTGATGTCAGTGCCTGCTCCGTCCCCATCCAGGTGAACCTGGCCCTCCCGGTGTTCTTCATCCTGGCCTGCCTCTTCCTGATCGCGGTCTCCTTCTGGAAGACCCCCGTGGAGTGCGGCATCGGCTTCACCATAATCCTCAGCGGCCTCCCCGTCTACTTCTTCGGGGTCTGGTGGAAAAACAAGCCCAAGTGGCTTGTCCATGGCATCTGTGAGTGTCTCTGCACCCCAGGGCCCCAGGGCTGGCCTCAGCTCCCCCAGCCCCCCGCCCCCACCCCAGACCCCAGACCCCAGACCCCAGAGCAGGGCCGTCTGCAGCTCTGGTCTAACCCCCCCCATCCAGGAGCAGAGGAGCTCCCACTGGGCCAGGGTCAGCCAGGGGCGGTGAGGGGTGTGTGAGGCCCTGGCTTTGGGGTCAGCAGTGAGGTGTTCTCAGAGCTTTGGGGTGCTGTGGCCTGCTTGGCGGTGGCGTCCGGCCCACGTATCGCAGGGATTAGGCGCTCAGCGCGGCGCCTGCTAATCTCAGAACAAGGGATTCCCGGGGACGGGGCTGCGATGGCCGAGTCATGAAATCCCAGCAGCTTAAGCACAGCCGGTTGACCTAGAAAGGCAGAGAAGGACCCCGGGATGCCGTCCTGGGCTCCCTTCACCAGCCAAGCTCAGGCCCATGACTGAAATCACGTCGAATGTGGCAGGCTTCGGGAAAGTCAGGGCGTCCGCAGGCCTGCGCCCTAGTCACCCCGGGCCAGGCGACCGTCCTGCGTTCTGTCTGGCACCGCCTGCTGGTCATTTGGTGCAGCTTTGCTTCCAGCCCAGCCCATTGGCTCCCTGTCAGTCATCTTCCAGAACACGCCACCCCGGGGGCCTGGAGCAGGAGCCCCCCCATCCGGAAATGAGTGCTCGCAGAGGCCGCGGGCAGAGGGTGTTGGCTGGGCCCCTGGACAGGCCAGCCTGCAAGTGGCGGTCACCCCGAGGAGGCCGTGCCCACCCCCTCCACCCCAGTGCGGCTCCCAGGAGCCCCGGGCTCGGACCTGGGCTGAGGCTGAGGTGCCTCCCACAGCATTCTCCGCCTCTCATCGGGCTGGCGTGCGGGCTGGCGCCCCACTGCGGGGAGACCCGAGGGCCCCGGGCAGCTGTGCGCGCACTAGGAGGTTCCGGAAGGAACTCAGGGTCTCCGGCTGCTGGTGCAGCTGCGGGAGGTGTGGCCACGGGGGACGGGGCGAGCTGCAGCCCATGCCGCCCACTCCCGGTGGTGTCCCCGAGCTAACTCCCGTGTCCCCCCGCCTCGCAGTTTCCACGACAGTCCTCTGCCAGAAGCTCATGCAGGTGGTGCCCCAGGAGACGTAAGCCAGAAGGACCTAGAAGCTGCCGGAAAGAAAACGCACGAAGATGGTGTTGGAGCATCTCACCCTTGAACAGCGACTCCGGTCCCGTCATCCAGGCAGCTCAGCTGAGGGCCCCACACCGTCCCTCCACCGGGTCGGGGGCTGGGGCCCCAGTGCAGACTGGTACGACTTTAGTCCCAGAAAGCGAACTTTTGTCTTCACTCCACGAGCGTAGCGCCAAGAAGAGGCCGGGCCCCTGACCCACCACAGGCTGCTCGTCCGCTGGGGCCTTCTTCTTTCAGCCTTTGTTTATTTGTATTAATTTTTTAACTTAAATTTGGGGTCAAGTTGACACCACTAAGATGATTATTTTCTAAAGAAATGAGGGGGAATAGTGAGAGTTTTGCCCTCTGCCCCCTGCAGCTTGACTTGCCTGCGAGGGCCCCAGGCGTGTGGTGGGGTGCGGTGCCCGGCCCAGCACAGGCTTCCAGGAAGGGGGGATCCTGAGTCCGCGGCACTCCGGGCCCAGGAGCAGAGCCACCGAGACTCAGGCCTCACTGTGCGGACCTCCGAGTTGCACTGACAGACAGACGGCAGCCCAGACCGCGCGCTTGGCTTTCTTTTGTTGTTGTTGTTGTAGATGTAGTGACTTTAGCAAAAACTAATCTCGGGACTTAGTCTCTTTGCCTTAAAGATCCAAGGGTGGATCCCTCCCCGACCCCCAGAAGAGAAAAGAGAAGGTCACTAGAACAGCTGCCTTCCGAGAGTAACCCCAGCCCCGGCTCAGCGGAAGGCAGGTTCCTGCACCTGGTGTCTGCAGCTGGCGGGGGCCCCGGGCAGAGGTCACGGGCGCCCAGACAATCCCAAGCTCCCACCCGTGTGCGCCACCTGGGACGGCAGAGCAGGGCCAGCATCTGGGCTAGCTTCCGGCTCCATACGTCCCGCCCTGGACACCCATGTGAGCTGAGGCACAACACGGGATGACCCTGGGCTGTTCCATATCCGGTACCGGGACTGAACGAGAGGTTTTCCGGGCAAAGACTCGCACTGGAAATCTAGAAGCGGCCAGGCAGGAACGGCTGACACCATGATGGGGAATGCTGAAGGGCTCCCTAGCCGGGTAGTCCCTCAAGACAGTCTCCTCCCAGGGCCTGAAGAACCAACCCCGGGAAGGCTCCCGTAGCTGGCTGGGGCTCCTGGCGCGGGAGCCCCCCAGTCCCCCCTGCATGGCCCTTCCCAGGCCAGACTCCACTGCTGCGAAGCTGGGGCTGCTGTCGCTGCACCTGCTCCCGGGGCTGCCCTGCCTCCTTGGGCTTTTGTCTTTGTGGTGCCCGTGGTGCTTTCCCAGGGGCGGCCGCTGGGGCCAGTGCGGGCTGTAGCCCAAGATGCCGCTTCAGCCCCCAAGGGCCGCGTGAGCTTGGCGTGGTCGGCCTGCCACCATCCATCTGGGCTCCAGGACCCAGAGCAGCCTGAGCTGCCTGGGAGGCCGAGAAGTCAGCCTGTTGTCCAGCTGTCCTGCTTTGTGCCCGAGTGCTGGCTCTGGGCGGGTGCAGGGAGCCCATGGGGGCCTTCCCGGGGTGGCCTGCAGGTGGGTGTGGGGAATCGGGGCATGGTTGCCCCTGCCCCTGGGGGACTCCCCTGCCCTCAGACACCAGGCGGTGCTTCCACGGCGGCCTTGGGCCGAGGCAGAAACTCCGCTCCTCCTGCCCCTTTGTGCTGACAGGCGTCCCGGGCACGTGTATCTGTCCAGCTTCGATTTTTTTTCCTTGTAAAGCAAACCCTGCCGTAAGCAGCAAGTGTTTGTTCGTGGACCTGCTGTTTTCTCCTGTCCTAATGTGTCACTAATTTAAAGGATGCCGTGGCACCTTGTGTATCTCTCTGTGGGGCTGAGGACCACCCTTGCCGCACGGTGTTCCCGCTGTCCTGGCGGCCACGTCAGCCCGGCCGGGATGCCTGCTGCAGATCGGCGTGTGTGGCTAACGTCTCTTTTCCCGTCGGTGGCTAACCTTTTGCACTTGGTGGGGAGTTCTAGAGATTTTGTGTGTGGGGTTTTTCGTTGGTTTTTGAAGAAAAATGATCAGAATCTTAAGTTCTGCTTGTGGTTTCCTGTGTCCTTTGTTCGGCGCCAGACCCTGGGTGCGGGGGTGACCCTGGGTGTTGTCCCCGCGGGGGTGGCCGATCGGGCACCTGTTGGCACACCTTGTTCATTTGCAGACGTGGCCGGCAGCGTGGGAGGGCCCACCACAGTGGCCACAGCCCCCTGGCTTGGGACGGGCGGTGAAGGCCAGGAAGGAGGCCAGGGGACGCTGAGCCAGGGTTCAGAGGGGCTGTTGCAGTCAAAATGGGGGAGAGTATGGCCTCCGGCCTACAGGCGGCTGTGGCTACTGCCGGTCCGACACCGGGAGGGCAGGGAAGGCTCTAGCTTGGGGCCAGGAGGGAGGCTGAGCCCCAGAGCAGAGCAGGACTGAGGGCCGCGGCACTCTCCACGGACCCACGGACATGCTGTGTTCTGAGCATCAACGTTGGAACAGGGCCTCGAGGACAGGCAGGCGAGGGTCTGCCAAGGTCGAAAGGGCTTCGTGGGGTGGCCACGGCCAGAACCTTGGGACTGCAGGTCTGGGTGCAGTGAAGGGTTTCTGCCCCATTCCTCAGACGGGCTCGGCAAGGGGAGTGCGACCCGATCCAACCCAAGAACACCAGGGCCTCCTGACCCCGTGTGGGCAGGGCTGCCCAGAGCTGCTGACCCTGCCGGACGCCTTCCCACCCTGCCCCGGGAGGCCAGGTGCCCACAACGGTCCGTACCCCACACACACACACCCACACAATCTGCTCCAGGGAGCCCCGCTAAACTCAGCTCATGATGCATCCAGGAGCGCATAGAAATCCCACATCCCCTTGCCAGGGGAGCAGGTGGGAAACCTGTGGCTCTGGCCCCAGCCCGGGGACAGCTGTCCTTCCACTGAAGGATGGTTCTCAAGCCAACCCACCACAATGGACCCCACTCTTCCTCTGAGGGGTGGGGAGAGGGACGTAGGGGCAGGGAGACCAGAGGGCAAGGCTTGGAGCAGGGAGAGAGGTCCACGGGGTGGGGGGAGTGCTACTAAGCATCCCCTCCACGCTGGACTTCCTGCGGGTCCCCAATTCCTAGGAAATCCTGCTGGCTCACCAAATTCTCCAGGTGCTTGTATGGAGAGCTGGCGAGGGGGCGAGGGGGGTCAGACCCGCCTCAGTGAGATGGTTACCCATGCCTGTGGAATTGGCCGGAACCACTGTGGGTGTAGGGTTTCTGCAGGCTGTGGAAATAGGGGTCCGGTGAGGGAAATGGGGATTCTGAGCCAAGTTGGAGGAGATGGGGTGACCTTGGGGCCAGGTGTGAGAGCTCGGGAACCTCGGGGTGTCCCCAGGACCCCAGGGAGGGAGTGTGTGCCTGCATCCAGACAAGACCCTTTCTGAGCATCCCAAATACAGGACCCTTCTGTGGGCTCGAGTCCCGCAAATCCTTGCCCTGCCCCACAACACCCCCAGGGAACAGGCTCCAGAGACAGCGAGGGTGGGTGCGGCACCCATGAAAGCGGGCAGACCCTGCCCCCCACATGCACACAGGTTGTCCGCACCAGCGGTGTGGCTGGGGACCCAGGCGCCCTCCCCCTGTAGAGCAAAGGCTCTGAATTCCCGCATGCCAAGCACACGAGTGCTGCTCTCTGCGCTACCTGGGGTCCAGTTCAGGCAAGACCCAGAATCTTCTCTCTCCGCCGGAGGGTGACTTCCTGCCGCCAGCAGGAGCCCGGCCGTGTGATTAAAGTCAGAGGTTTGCAGCACACACGCCTGCAGCGCCCGGCTGACCAGGTCACTCACAGAACGAGCCTCTACCCTTTCCCCCGTCCAGGTCAGAGAGGGCACAGAAGGCTCCAGAAGCTCCCTCTCCCTCAGCAGCCTCTGCAGTGTCTGGAGCATGGCACGTGGCCCCCGGGAGGCTCTCCTCCCCCCCCCAGAGGAGGGCTCGGGGCCCAGAGTCAAGGTGTGGGTCCATCCCTGCCCATGTGTGGTCCACCCGACCCTCCCGGGGGAGGTCACCTTCTGAAGCCCCTTGACAGTCCCCTGCTTGAGGTGGGGAAAGCGGCATGCGGACGTCGCCAACCCCGGGGCCAGCCGGGCCCACTGCCCGTCCTCATGAGCCGCTCCGACTGTTAACAGCCTGGCAGCTGACTTCAGTCGTCCGGGAACACTTGCCTGGCCTTCCCGGAGGGCCCAGCTCAGTCCCCCCGGGCAGCCAGGGCAGTGGGAGGGTGTTCCTGGACAGACGGCCGCCCCGTCCCGTTCCTCTTGCCGTGGCGACCTCTCTCCAGGCTGCAGGTCCGTCTATGTGGACGGCTCGGCCTCGCTCTCAGGGATCCGCCGTGGGGGTAGGGGACTGCGTCCAGACTCCTTCCATTGGAGTGGCTGCTGTTTGATTTCTGGGCCCCACTCGGTCCCTGGCGGACGGCGGCGATCCCACACGGAGGGGTTTGTTACATAAAACCCACGTCCGGACTGAGGAGGGAGAGACTATAATTGAAAGGCCTGGGCTGTCACGGTTGGGACTGTGAGCTTCCCGGTACCCAGGGGACAGGCCAGGGCTTCTCTTCTGGAGGGCGGCCACGTGGGGCCCGGGCAGAGCAGGTGTCCCCACACCTGCAGGCCGTCCGCGGGCTCGTCCTGAGGAGGACCAGGGTCAGGGTCTGGGAGGAGGCCCAGCCACAGTCTGGTTAAGGAGTTTCATCCGCTGGATGGGTGGGGTCAATACTGCCGAGACAGAGGGAATTTGGGGACCTGTGTCCGGCCCATGGGGCTGCAGAGTCCCCCGCGTCATGAGCGTTCAGGGCTGAACTGAGAGGCACACGCCTCGCAGGGGAGCAGCAGGCGGGAATCCACAGAAGCTGGCGTGGGGCCGCCCAAGCACGCAGGGGAGGGCGACGCAGCTGGGGCAGCCAACGGCAGGGACGAGCGTGTCCTCACCTCGACCGTGGTGGTGGCGGCACGACCGCAGTGAGTGTGCCCGGAACCACTGAACCGGGCCCTCCACGTGGTCAGTGGTACCGCCTGGGAACAGCACATCGCCGCGCGGGACAGGCAGCCCAGGGAACGGTGACACGGGGTGCCACCAGTTTGATTGAAAAGCTGGAACCAGGGACGCCGGGTGGCTCAGCCAGCGGAGCATCTGCCTTTGGCTCAGGTCATGATCCCAGCGGGACGGAGCCGCACCTCAGTCTCCCTGCTCAGCGGGG